CCTGTTTCAAACCAGATAGTTCTAAACACTACTGGAGACCCCCAAAAAAGGGATTCAGGGGGCTGGGGATTTAGCTCAGCAGCACAGCACTTGCCTAGCAAGCATAAGGTTGTGAGTTCGATTCCTGGTACTGGAAGAAAAAAAAAAAAAAAAAAAAAAAAAAAAAAAAAGAAGATGCAGATGTTGTTGCAGATGTTGTTGCCTATACATTTCCATCAGTGTTCAGGAAAACACTTCAAATTGCTACTTACTTTACACCATAATTATTGGGTTACAACTTACAGCTTTAGCATATTTGCAGTCTCAGTATATTTTGGTATATGTGCTGCTGAAGTGAGCACATACAACAGTATTTTTTGAAAGCTATGGATGTCACTGATATCTGCTTAAACCAGACCCCATTCAGGCACGATCTTGGCAGCTTCCAGACTTCCACCTTCCACTGCATCTGGTTCTTTATGGTGTGATGATTGCTGTGCATGCAGGACAGCAGGAAGCACTTCCTCTGCTCCTAGGTGCAGTTATGGAGATCTAGCATTTTGCAGATCTCCCACATCATGTCATGTGATCCATGGAACTCAGTAGTTTAAATGCTCCAGGTGAAGTGCAGGGTGCAAGGTTTTGCTTCTTTGTTTTCATCCTGTTGCTCTGAAAACACATTGCTATGCCTTGTGAGTTCGGAAGCTATACTAATTTACTAAAAATATTAGAGGAGCCTCAACTTTAAGTTTGGGACAGTGGTTTTGGCTTTGTGAGACAGGCTGGGTGAGGTAGGTGGCTTTTGTACACTGCATTTTGCCACTCCTGGAGTTGGCTGTGGAAAGTGCTACAACTGGCAGTGCTTTTTGGGTAGTGGATTCGATGTGGAGTGTTTGCACTGGTAATACTGTGGGTTGAAGCAAATCAAGTTCTCTGACTGGGAATGGTGCTGTTCTCTTTGCCATTCTGCATCACTGAGTATCTGGCTGCAGTAGTTCTCTCACTGACAACCTGTTTCACTGCATCATTCTCCCAGGTGCTATGTTGTTACATAGCAACATAGGGTTTTTCTTGCATTCAGGAATAGTCTTGTTGGGATCACTTGTGTTACCAAGCATGCAACGGTCTAGAGAAATTCCCTTTCTTCCCACAGCATTGCTGTGGAAATAATTCCATCTCCTTTGAGGTGGTCTGATCGCTCATCAGATACACAACAACTGAAGAAATAGCTATTTCAGCGTGGTCACTGTTCTGTCTCTGTGGCTTGAAGAAACTCTTTTTGCACTTTGTGGTGAGGAGACTGCACAGTGATGTTGCTCACTCGGGTCACTTCTTGGCCACACCTTAGCAAGTGAAAGGCTGCTGCTAGAACTGGAGTCACCAGCATCTAGCTTGGAAGATTTCTCTCCCCAAGAAGAAATACATAGCTGTGATTTCATATTTTGTTTTACTAAGAGATTCTTGAATTTCTTCTAGTGAATATCCATTCCCACCATCATATCTATTCTTTCTGGCCTGAGATATTTAGTTCTGGTTCAATAAATGGTTTAAGTTCATCTTCATGAACTGAATACTCAGATTGCAAATATACTCCTCTTCAAACTGATTTAATGCAACCCCAATCAAAATCCCACCTTTTTCCCCCTTTGGCAAGCTGACTGTAAAATTAATATGGAAATGCAAAGGGTTATTACTGAAGGCAGATTACAGACTGGGAAGACTTGTTCTATTGCATATCAAGACATACAAATCCCCTGTACTACAGACAATAAGTGGAACGTGTGGTGCCTGAGAAGGAAGGTGTGCA